CTTTGTTCATCATACGTTGGTAAGTTGCTCCGGCGTTCTTCAGTCCGAAGGGCATTACGTTGTAGTAATAGTTGCCCGAGCTGGTCATGAACGCCGTGCAGTGTTTGTCGCCCAGAGCCATTGGGATTTGGTTATATCCCGAGTAGGCGTCCATGAACGACAAAGTCTTGTAGCCGGCCGAGTTGTCGACCAGCATGTCTATGTTAGGTAAAGGAAAAGCATCCTTCGGGCAAGCCCGGTTGAGGTCGGTATAGTCAACACACATTCTCCATTTTCCATTATTCTTTTTAACAAGTACAACATTTGACAGCCAGGTGGAGTACCGGGCTTCAGAAATAAAATTTGCCTCTAGGAGGTCTTTTACAGCTTTTTCAGCAGCCTCCGTTTTTTCTGGAGACTGCCTACGCCTACATTGTACTACGGCCTTGGAGGCTGGATCAATGGCGAGGTGGTGACAGGCGACCTCAGGGTCGAGTCCGGGCATCTCTGCAGCGCTCCAGGCGAAGAGATCAGCATTCTCGCGTAGACAGGCCTTGATTTGCTTCCTGGCCAAGTCAGGGAGGTCTTTGCCAATCTTCACTCCCTTGGTCGGGTCTGTGCCGAGGGGAACGAGTTCAAAATCACCGTCCGGAATAGGTCGGAGTGGGATTTGCTCGCTGCTGGATGGCTCGTCCTGATCGAAGCGAGCGTCGAGGGCTATGGAGTCGACCTTAGGTAGGGCCTTCTGGACTTCTTCCTCAGGGGATGCTTTTCTGTCGGGCTCCTGCTTTGTCCTCTTGGTGGGTCTGGTCCCTACGTCAACGGTATCCCGTCCCTTTGAAGCAGCGTTGAAGCACCTGCGGGCAGCGGCGAGGTCTCCTTGGATGGTGGCTACCCGTGCCCTTTTGGTATAGAACTTCATCTTCAGATGGACAGTCGAGGGCACCGCTGTCAGCTCCGCTAGAGTCGGTCTCCCCAAGATGCAATTGTACAGAGACGGGCAATCAATGACGAGGAAGCGGACCTTAACCTGTCTTGTAGTCGTTCCTTCTCCGAATGTAACCAGGAGCTCGACATAACCCCAAGGTTTGGAAGTCGAGCCGTTGAAGCCTTGAAGATCCGAACCCACATACGGAGAGAGATGTGAGTCGTCCAGTTGCAAGGTCCGGAACAGCTGGCTGTACATCACGTCGACGGAACTCCCTTCGTCGACCAGGATGCGATGCACGTCAAAATTGGCCATTTTTGCCCTTATCAGCAAGGGGATGACCGCGTTTGGGGCTCCGCCGGGGAGTTCTTCCAGGTAGAAGGTGATGGGCTCTGACCTGCCCTTCACCCTTTCGAACGTCACAGTTTGTGGAGGAGCTATGTCGACCAGCTCGTCCAACTTCCTCTTAGCTGAATTGATGGTGAGGTCGTTGAACCCGCCCCCGTTGATGACCATGGCGGAGGGGAAGTATTCCCACCTGCTGTGTGTTGTCAGGGGCTCCTGCAGGAGCTCGGGAACGTCGAAATCCTCGGGCCTGGTTATCGAGAAGGCGGTCTGGATAGGCACCGACTCGTCTGATGGTCGGGCATCTTCTTCGGGCTCCTTGGTCTCATGGGCGTCACGACGGGGAGCGTCGTTTCGCCTGTACTGTGCGAGCCTCCCTCCCTTGATGAGGGTTTCAATGGCGTCCTTGAGGTGAACGCAGTCTTCCGTCAAATGACCATGACTCCTATGGTATTGACAATATTTATTTTTATCTGCCCCTGGCTTGGCGGGAGCAGGTCGGGGACGCTTGACGCCACCGTCTCTGAAATCTGTACTGGCACACTCCGCCAAAATACGCTCGCGGGAAGCCGTGAGCGGAGTGTACTCGGTGAAACGGCCGGAGGGGCCCCTTTGTTCCCGGACTTCCCGGGGTCGATCTTCCTTCCTTTTCTCCCCGGTACGTCGGGGAGGAGGCTCTTGTCGTGAGTTGCTGCTGTTGTTGGGAGCGCGAGCCCTGGAGTCTCGGGCCCTGTTGGCAGCTTCTCTCTCCTCGTAGTCCATGTATGCTCGGGCCTTGTCGAGGAGAGCATCAAAAGTTGGAGGTGGCTCAATACCCACAGCTTTTCTGAATTCTGTGCCGGGGAGGAGACCCCTCTCCAGCAAGTATCTTTTCATATGGTCCGCGCAGGGGACCTGTATTGCTTCCCGGTTGAAGCGGTTGATGAATTCCCTCAAGGTTTCATCCTGTCTTTGGATGATGGCCTCGAGGGCCGCCTCAGTCTTCGGATGGCGCCGAGAAGCTGTGAAGGAACTGATGAACTGGTTCTTCAGGTTCCGCCACGACGTAATTGAGCCCGGGGCGAGCCCTTTATACCAGTCCATGGCCGCCTTCCTGAGAGTCGTGGGGAAAAGACGGCACTTGATGGGCCCCCCGACATTATGATAGTGGAGCATGGCTTCGAACCCGTCAATGTGGTCGACCGGGTCCGCTACTCCGTCATACTCTTTCAGATGCGGGGGCTTCTCCATGCCCGGGGGGATATGTGCATCCATGATAGCCTGCGACAGGGGACCGCGGGGGTCGTCCTCGTCGCTCCTCTCCGGAGAAAGAGAAGGGGTCCTGTAGTTATGCCTGGCACGATGATCGTGCTGAGTTTCCCTCGAGCGTGATGCTCGGTGGTTGAAGGTTACACGCCCGTCCCCGGCGTGCCTCTTGTCGTGCCTTGATGGGTCGCGACTGGGTTCTCCAGGAGGGATGACGGGCTGTCTCTCATGGTAGGGCCGCCTCTGCTTTGGCCGGGGAGAAGGGCTCCTGGAGTTCTCCCTATAGTGTCTTCGCGGGGGAGAAGGGTGTCGAGCTTCCGTGATCCGGGGAGGTGGAGAATGTGGCCTCCGATGCCTCCTCGGGGGTCGTCGATCATCTTCAAGTGCCCTTAATCTTTCTCCTTGGGCGAATATGAGATAATTTGTCTGATTAATGGCCGCGAACAGTGCCTGAGTCGTGGCATCTGCCCCGGCGGGAACTGGTACTTCATAGAACCGGGCAGCTCTGTGATGGGCGAGAGCTACCGGGTCGTCTTTGAGTGCTGGAGGGGTCGTAGAGGATGATGCAGTAGCCCCGTCCCTGTAGGAGGAAGGTCCAGGGGCGGTTGTCACAGGGATGACACTGTGGCCGGGATCACCGGGGTTATCGAGGTGTCCATTCTTGTCCGCGGTACCGTTATTAGTGTCGGCGACACGGACGGGCTGCTCGTCGCGAGCTGGATCAGCCATGACAGGTAGTTGAATTGAGCTTTGGTCTTTAGAATTGTTCGTTAGACGGGGAAGCTAGTTTCCCACAGACGGCGCCACTGATTTGACCTGATCAGAAATGGACCGTCACGGCTGGCTCCGAGCAGAAAGCTTTTTTGAACGAGGTGGGGGGGGGGGGTACCTGCAAGGCACTCCGATGCTGAAGTAAGTAGGAGTACGAGCAGATAATAGCAAGTTTAAGGTTAGAATGATGAATACCTGACCCTCTGGAAGCAGAGGGTATTTATAGCCCCCAACGCTGGGCCAAGGTTCCTTCATTGGGCCGGGCAGGTTTGGCCCAATGGAGGAACTGCCAGGTTCTACGTGGATAGTGGGGACCCGCACGTGGTCCCCTTCCTGGATGTTCTGCGTGAAGTGCGGGCGGACGGAGACGCGGTCTTTTCGGAGTATCGTTGGGGGGACAGTGGACTGAGTCTGCCCTAGTTGGGGTGCTCGAGGCAATGTCGAGCTGGACAGCAGGATGTCGAGCTGGACCGCAGTATGTCGAGCTGGACATCAGGATGTGGAGCTGGACCGCAGTATGTCGAGCTGGAGGTGTAGCTGTCGAGCATGCGAAAACCCGTCGGGCACGGCTGTGACCCTTTGGTCGGCGTGGTCCTCAGTAAGTCCATTTGGACTGGGCCTTGGCAATACTTTTGGGCCTGTCGGGCCCAGTCCAGAACAATATATATATAGAATGGATTATGTGACTAAACACAATAATTAAATAAGAAGAGAAAAATTTCACAAGAATTTAAAAAAAAAACACTTAAAGATTTCTTTTGAAAAAAATAAATCGAAAAACTTCATTTAAAAAAGGAAAATATTAAACTTTTATAGAATCTTCAAAATATATAAAATATATATGGGGTTTAATAAGATTCACTCCGGAATCTTTCAATTTATCATTATTTAAAGTATTATATGTTTTTTCTTTTCAATTCTTCACACATGTTATGGTAGAATAACTTTTTAATATATTCATTTATAGTTTTCTAGATTGATAAAAAATCAAATAGAAAATAAACCTCTAACTAAAAATACATAAATCAGCTGATATTATATAATTAATTAAACATAATATTGATAAAATTAGCATTTAAACTAGTTGTTCGACAAATGTAACAGTTAAACTTAATACTAACTATGAAAAAAATCAAAGATTACCTAACATAAACGATATGTAACTAGAGTTGGAAAAATATCTTTTACTCTTTCCTCATAGTTTCCGCTCCCGTAAGACCCTGCCTCTCCTCCGGCCATTAACTATTTTTCTTTTACTTTTTTTTAACCTATTTTCGTCGGCAATATCTAACAAAATTTAATTAAAAATAGTAATAGTGACTTTGGCAGAAGCAACTAGCGACCAAACTCTCATTTTTTTCTTCACACTCTCCGCTATATAAATAAGAATCTAAATCCTCTCTGTTTACACGTTTCAGTTCAAATCTCACTCTCTCCGCGTTTACACAATGCAGAGATAGCATCTTGCTCTTCCTCTTAGATCTGCTTCTTCCTCATCAACCAGAGGTACGTACGTGCTTTCAATCTTGATTCCTCAGATCGAGTTCGTCTTTTCATGCATTCAATTTTGATTCAAATTTCACCGTTTTGTGCTATAGTTTAGTTTTTGTTTCTAGCAATCTAGATCCGTTTGATTATTGTAATATTGTTCGTTTCAGTATGTTGAATCTTTCTTTATCTGTATCTTAGTTCGGTTTGAATATATGTGTCGGTGCTAAATCTTGCTGAGGTAATGAAGATTGAACTTAATAGCGGTTTGATTTTAACTTTGAAGTGTGAAAACGTTCTGATCTGTATGTTTTGTATTGTGATTTCGTTATCTCACTTGTTGTATCTGATTTTACTGACTGTGGTTTATAGCAGATTAATTAGTTGCCTTATTTTCCTAACTTATGTTTTATGTACACCGACTCCTCTGAAAAATATGCATTTGTGATTACATTTAATTTATTATATTTTTAAAATTATTACTGGTGTCGCTGTCTTAGTTTCGGAGTCGTGTTTGGGGTGTTTGGAGTGTTCGTGCTTCATAGTTTATGTTTGAAGTCTTAAGTTTAGTAGTTCTTGACCAGGTATAAATCATCAGTGAGTTGAGTTTGTTCCCTTCGACGCCATGGCTATAGGAAAATATTCTAGAGTTGATGGTAGAAGATCAACATCGGGTTACTGTTCAACGGTGACTATTGTTGTGCTTGTTGCTCTATGTTTGGTTGGGGTTTGGGTGATGACATCATCTTCTGTAGCTCCTGTGATGAATGGTGGAGATGGAGATGTGTCTCAGGAGAGTAAGAATGAGGTGAAAGAACAAAGTGATGTGAAGGAACCGGTGAGTGATACTGATAATAACAATGGTAGGCAGTTTGAAGATAATCCGGGTGATTTGCCTGAGGATGCGACCAAGGGGGACAGTAATGTTAACTCTGAAGAGAAGTCGGAGGAAAGTTCCACGGAGAAGTCTGCGGAAGCTACGAAGACAGATGATGAGGGGAAGAAAACAGAAGAGGAAGGTGCCAATACAGAGAATGTTGAACAAAACTCTGAAGCTACAGAAAGTAACAAGGATAGTGGAGAGTCCACTAAGGAATCTGATTCTGATGAGAGTGAAAAGAAAGATGAATCAGATGATAGCAACAAGTCAACAGATAATAATATAGAGGAGAAGGTGGAACGAAATGACAACAAAGAATCTGATGACAATTCTAGCGAGAAGAATACAGATGATAATGCAAAAGACCAAAGTTCAACTGAGGTGTACCCTTCAGGGGGTCAGTCTGAGCTTCTGAATGAAAATTCAACTCAAACTGGATCTTTTTCTACTCAGGCAGCAGAGTCAAAGAATGAAAAGGAGTCTCAGGAATCCTCCAAGACTGGGTACAATTGGAAAGTTTGTAATGTTACTGCTGGCCCCGACTTTATCCCATGTCTTGATAACTGGAAAGCGATTAGGAGTCTTCGGAGCACTAAACACTATGAACATCGTGAAAGACACTGTCCTGAAGAACCTCCCACCTGCCTTGTCTCTCTTCCTGAGGGATATAAGCGCTCTATTGAGTGGCCTAAAAGCAGAGATAAGGTCAAAATCAAATTTTTAAATTGCCATTCTCTGTTTGTTTTCTCTTTTCTAAACTTATATGTTATTTTCCCTGCAGATATGGTATTACAATGTTCCACACACTAAGCTTGCTGAAGTTAAGGGGCATCAAAATTGGGTGAAAGTCACAGGCGAGTACCTTACTTTCCCTGGTGGCGGAACCCAATTCAAGCACGGGGCACTTCATTACATTGACTTTATTCAAGAGGTAAAATATGCATTTTGTTTGGATTGAATTTAACTTTTATTTGTTGCTTTTGTTCACAACTTGTCAAAAAACGTCCATAGAACTTGTATATGCTAAAAAAACTGACGATACATTCGAATTTTCAAGATCAATACATAATCAATGTAATTCCTAACTTGTCATGTCCTTCGAGAAAAAAGTCATCTAATCAACAACAAACTTGCTAGTCTACATAGACTTATGAAGGGTCCGCAGACTCGTAAAAGTTTATGAAAAAAAACTGACTTCAAAAACTAAAAATGACACATACATAATAGAACATCATTTAACTTAAAAATTCCAATTTCAAACTCCATAATAAAGTTGTTACAAAATAAAACTCCATAATAAAACAAGTAAAGTAGCAAAGGGAATAAGCTATAACAAAAAAAAGATCTTAAAGACACATTCATGTAAAAAATAGAGCATCAGAATAACAAAGTTTTGTAGAATGGAGACAAAAAACAACAGTAATACTGAGACATGTGAGTAACACAAACAATAAGCACTCATAAATCTATCCGAATCATTAAACTCGCATTAAACTCGTAAACTCGCATAAAACTCGTAAACTCGCATTAAACTCGTAAACTCGCATTAAACTCGTAAACTCGCATCAGACTCGTAAATTCGCATCAGACTCGTAAACTCGCATCAGACTTGTAAGTCTATCCGAGTCTGCGTGAGTCTGACCAAGTCTAAGCAAGCCTACCATGAAAATGAGTCTTGTTACGAGTCTGCGAGTTGACTCGTGAGTTTGACAGCCATGCTCATCAGTAGTTCAGTACAGCCCTTAAAAAGTTATGTTTTGATTGGAAAGAAAACAAATATCATGACACTTCAACCATGAAGAAATTACAATTTACAAGTCGTCTTGGTCTAAGCTTATGGGAAAAAACCATGGTACCGATATAGCCTTTAAAAAGATCTGTTATGATTGGAGTAAAAAAATACTATGGCAAAAATATTGATTTAGGTGTATTATATGTATGACGTTCTAGAAACCAGCTTCTTTATCAAAAGAACTTATGTTACATAGTACAGTAGGATGAGAAATCTACGTTCTTTCATCTTATATTTTTTTTTAGTTGTTCACAATGTGTTTACTAGATGTGGAAGAGAAGTCAAGTATATTTCCTAATAGAGCTTTCATGATGCAGACTCTATCTGACATTGCTTGGGGAAAACGCACACGTGTTATACTAGATGTTGGATGTGGTGTTGCCAGCTTTGGAGGCTTTCTCTTTGATAGAGATGTACTTGCAATGTCACTTGCACCAAAGGATGAACACGAAGCTCAGGTCCAGTTTGCTCTCGAGAGGGGAATTCCTGCTATATCTGCTGTAATGGGAACAAAGAGGCTTCCCTTCCCTGGGAGAGTATTTGATGCAGTCCATTGTGCACGGTGTAGAGTTCCATGGCACATAGAAGGTATTCATATTACTCAGCTTGTATTTCCATGACTAGATTAATTCATTATATAGCATTTTGAACTATATTCCTTTAGGCATTTCAATTAATTTCAATTTTAACTTGGTAAAAAGTTGTAGCTACCGGCGACATATGATAAACTTGTTATGCAAGCTATTTTGGTGGGGGTTGGTATGTTGGATTATTTTACGTTGGCATTACTATTGAGATGAAAAGAAAATGTGCAACATTTGATGAAATCCATGTGTTTGAATTATACCACTGTGGCTCAACTATATTATAGAGTTAATGTAATAACTATGAGAATCCCCAATTTCCTATTAACATCATTACTAGATTTGATTATCCTATGAACATGTTTTTCAAAATTACTTTTTTACAACTGCAGGTGGTAAACTTCTTTTGGAGCTGAACAGAGTATTGCGGCCTGGTGGTTATTTTATATGGTCTGCTACTCCTATTTATCAGAAGCTTCCTGAAGATGTTGAAATATGGAATGGTAACTTATAATGAGAGTCATGTGTTGGGCATTTTAATGTAGGTTTCCTAAGCTTGACATTTATGAATTTGTTCACAGAAATGAAAGCACTAACAAAATCAATATGCTGGGAACTTGTGGCGATCGACAAGGACCAAGTTAATGGAGTTGGTGTAGCCATATACAAGAAGCCACTATCCAACGAGTGTTATGAGAAACGATTAAAGAATGAGCCTCCGCTGTGTCCAGCATCGGATGATCCCAATGCAGCATGGTATTCCTTCCTTAACTGACATGATGTTTTTCTTAATCAAAATAGAAATTGAGGTTTTACTTAGTTAATTGCTGAATTAATCTTTGACTGTAGTCACTGTACATAGTGAGAAAACCAAAATCAGAGCCGATAGCTATTTTTTATCCTCCCTCTCCTGTCTTGTTAAAGCGAAGAAGATTTGTATAAAACAAGTATTGAAATATGTATAGAAATGAAACGAGACTTATTATATGGCTAGAAGATCTTATATGTTTCTGCTACAAAATGAACAATTATCGTTCTTTGAGATTTAACTGCTGAAGTTTCAATAAATCTAGTATTATAATGTTCATGCAGGCTAATCTCTCTGTTGTCACAGGTATATTAAATTGCAAGCATGCATACACAAAGTGCCAGTTAGCTCAAGTGAACGTGGGTCACAATGGCCAGAGAAGTGGCCAGCCAGACTGACCAATGTACCATATTGGTTGTCAAGTTCCCAAGTTGGAGTTTATGGAAAGCCGGCACCTGAAGATTTTGCTGCTGATGATAAACACTGGACAAATGTAGTGTCTGAGTCTTATCTAAATGGGATGGGAATTCAGTGGTCAAATGTGCGTAATGTCATGGATATGAATTCTATCTATGGAGGGTGAGCAAAAGTCATTGTTTCCTATGTTATTGTGAATTATATTTGCTTGGTAATATGTACTATATTTTGACATCTTCTGCCAATGCTTCCAGATTTGCTGCAGCTTTGAAAGATTTGAAAATTTGGGTCATGAATGTAGTTTCAATAGAATCCGCAGATACCCTTCCCATTATTTATGAACGTGGTCTTTTTGGTATATATCATGATTGGTGCGAATCATTTAGTACCTATCCCAGATCATACGATCTCCTTCATGCAGATCATCTGTTTTCGAAGGTTAAGAAAAGGTGAAAATAACTATTTCATTCCAAATTAGTTAAAAACTATGTTGCTTTCGTTTTGCTAATGCTTTTTGGTCATTTGTCACACAGATGCTCTTTAGCTTCTCTATTAGCCGAGGTTGATCGGATTCTCAGGCCCGAAGGAAAGCTTATTGTCCGCGACACTGTTGAGATAATTAACGAGCTTGAGAGCATGGTAAGGTCCATGCAGTGGGAGGTCCGCATGACGTACTCCAAGGATAAGGAGGGTTTGTTATGTGTTCAGAAGTCCAAGTGGCGGCCTAAGGAGACAGAGACACTCCAGTATGCTATTGTTTAAGCATGGATGAGAGCCAAAATTATTGGGTTCTGGGTGCTCAAAATTCTGTGTAACTGTATTTCCACTACTAGTCATGTATCATCTTAGTTAGGAATCTATTATGTATTCGTCTTTTTCCGTTGGCCGTTAATTTTGATATCCTCTATTTATAATTAGAGATTGGTCTTTTCTGCTGTAATAGGGTCCATAGTGTGAAGGAAATTTGATTACGTTCTTTTTTAGGGGCCATTGATTGATTTATACTCGTAATAGTTGGAAATTTGAAATATCCATTACACTATAATGGTAGTATTATTTATGGATTGGACGGAAAAATGTATAATGATTTATGAATTGAAGGTCAAATACTATACAAACTTGTACCCTATTTTTAGTACACACTTTTTTTAGTTTATCTATACAATCTCTTATCTCCTAAAAGAATCACACATGTCTCGACATGTGTTATGAAAGTTGAGGATCATAGCAATTTGCCAAACCTTAAGGGCCTGTTTAGGGGAAGGGAGAAGGGTTTTGAAAAAAAGGGAAGAGTTGAGTGGAAATAATTGAAGTATTTTGGTTGGGAGAATTTTAAAGGGTTTATTTTTTATTTATAACACTAAAAAATCTTTAATTTGAGATAATTCAAAATTTGTATTGAAGGAGGATTTTGAAGAGATTTTGGAAGGTTTATAAATTTTCCAAACATCTTTTATACTATTATAGGATTATAAAAATTAAAAATGTAATAATGATAAATATTTTTTTTTATCATCAATCAACTATCTATCTAAGCATGGAATATCCTAATAATCTATCTAAATTACCCTTGCTTACAAAATAAATTTATGCTAAATGATGCCCATTGAGGTAATGGACTAAATGTATACATGCCTTCAAGCTTTTATTCAATAACACTGTCATGTGTCATCTCTTCTCCGACAGAGCGCCTATCTCTCTCATCGTTTCCTTTCTCTGCTTTTTCCATCTTCAAATGCCTTTGAGTTTCTTTGAGGTTAGCCCTTTCCATTACATACTTTTATCTTCATCTGGTTTTTGTTACTGCATTTGCTGAAAAAGAATTAATTGTTGTGATTGGGACTCACCTAGATAGAGAATTAATGTCAATCATAAAATAGAGAATTAATACTTCACTTAAGTTAAACCACTTCAAGAATTTTCACATGAAGGGTCTCATATCTATGTGAGTCTTAGGTAGAAGTTAAGCACGGACAACGATTAAGTGAGTAGATTGTAAATTGGTGATATTTTGGTGTGGGTCTACAAACTGATACTATTTAGTGAACTTTCTTCCTGACTTGGTAGCCTCTAGAGTAGGTGTTGTTGTACACCGAACTGAGTTAACAACTCTGCGTGTTCTTTTAATTTCAACACTTTTATCTGTTTTCATATTGTCATTGTGTTTTGACTCAGATATCAGTGTCTCGACATCTCTTAGGATATCTGATATCCGCATACCAAAATTTCATAAAGTATATTCTTTTTTAGGTGGAGTATAATAATTTTTAAAACTATGATTGTTGGTGAAGACAATGTGAAAATTCTTGGAGTGGTGTGGCATCAAGTGACTATATTCTTTATGGTGGAGTATGATTGTCAGTGAATGTCAATGTATTATTTTCAATCAAGGTGGAAATTGTTGGGGTTGGTTGAAAATATACATGTTGAAGAAGTCTCAAATCGCTTATTTTTATTAAGGAAGAGGGAGTTCAAGACTATACATAGAATTAAACTTTTTCAAACCCCATATTGCTTAGTTTAGTGAATGAAGAGGGAGTCCAAGGTTATATATATGATTCAAGTTTTATTTACAAGATGTACCAGTCAAATTTGTCTGTCTTATTGCTATCATCAAATTTATTTTTGAACTTGGATTTTACAGATATAAATTCCTTTGATTTAATTATATTAACATTCCGAGGTTTTTAATAAAAATTCTCTTTCAAGTCTATTTGAAAATATAAATTATTTGTAAAAATAACAAATGATTGTTTGTTGTCATATACTTTCAATTGACTTTTTACTTTTGAATAAGTAACATAGCACAATTGGTAAGAGAGAAAGACTAGCAAGCAGAAGATTTTGGAGTTACTAATTTTTGGGGAGGTCTATATCATACAATAGTTATTCTTGACTAAATTTTTTTACATGAGAGCCCTTTTCCTTTAATTTCAATTTGTTTGTTGTTTTAATCATATAAGAAAATTATTAGTAATAATTTTTTTTTCCTTTCTTTTGTATCGGAGACCAATTTTCTAATCTACAAAACACTTTCACTCTTTTTAACATTGTCTTTCAATTTTCCTGACGGTATTCTTTAAAAATTATTATTCCTAAACTTTCTTTCTTTTCTTTCTAACCACTTACACTGTACACACAAAACCTGATACAACTTCCTTTCACTAGCATTTCGCGTGCACTGTACATATTTACTAATAATTTTTTTCTGCATTAATTCAAACATAAATTTGAAGCATAAGCCTTACATGAACATCAAAGTTGAAATCAAATTTCCTTCAACACTAACAAGTTGCATGATCTTTTTTGCAAGAAAACTCATCATCAATTAGAAAAGATTGAAATCGTGCAAGCTTGTGAAACAGCCATCACCGCAACTTTGGAAAATCGACGGCGACCTCTCCCAAAAGCAACTCCCAGCCAGCACCGCAACCGACCACCACCACTCCGGTAATGCCACCGTGAATCTACCTGGGTCCTCCACCGCATAGCCTTGTTGTTGTTCCGGCCAAATCGACGCGCATCCATCCAATTACCGGATCCGATTTCGACATGGACAACACGCCAGACCGCCACTCACGTTCAATTTCTGATCGGTATTTCGCTTTTCCTTTGCCATACTTATTTTGTTCTTTATTTGATCTATCGAAGATATCTTCTTTTCATTTGATTTCTGTAAAAAATATAAAGTTTGATTTGTGTGGATATGAGGAAGGAAGAAGGAGATGAACATCCAAAGTGAATAGAAAGAGGATTCTTTTTCTCTGTAAACTTGCAAACTTGTTATTGTGATTATAGAGGAATATAATGCTTGCGTTTTTGTTTCCATCTCATATTTTTTTTGTTTTTAGTTATGTTAATATTATGTGTCACTATAGTATAGATTCTCATTAAAGAATTGGAAAAGTCAAAATAAGATGAACAATTAGTTTAGCATTTGTTTTTTTTATGATCAGATCGTGGCATTTGGGTCCATATTCTTCACTTGTGGTAGTTGTTTGTATTTTCATTTTTATGTTGTTCAATGAATTACTAGTTAATTAGAACACGATGCTATAAATCCACATCTTAGTATGACTGTCGTCCTCTCCGTTGTCTATCTCCAGGCACAATTGTGTGTTTATATTATTTTACTAATTTACCTGCATTCTCATTTGGTACACCCTATGTTCATTTAGTTTAGTTAACCCTTAAGTTAATTAAATTAGTTGTAATTATTTTGATTAATTTGGATTAATTAGTTTAATTTTTTAATTATTATAATAACTAAAAGCAATTATTCATATAATTACTAAACCCTCTCGATTAAATTTAAATAAACTCGGGTATACTAATCGTGCTTCTTTTCAAATCAAATTAATTCAATATTTTTATAATAGGATTGATAGATATTTCATCTACCATGTCCTCGAATAAGTGATTGATCGACACATCGTTTATCAGTTAATTATTCAAAATCGAATATTGAAATCCACGCAACCCGTATCCTTCACATCAAGTGACACGCGGCCAATATCTGGACACGTGGTGAGGAAGACTATATTAGACTTCCTCCACATCCTTCACATCGAGCAACACATGGCCAATATCTGGCCATGTGGTGAAGAAGACTATATTAGACTTCCTTTGTATCCTTCATAACGAGCAGTACGAAGTCAATATCTGACCACGTGGTGAGGAGACTATATCAGACTCCCCGCCCCACGTCTCAAAATGGCTAACAAACGATTCAAACGTTTTTCTACTAACCTAACAAAAACTATAAGATATTTTCGAAAAAGGATTAAGGAGAATTAATTTCAAATTTACCTGCGAACTACGTCTACGATCACTCAACCTACAACCCAGACAAGACTCAAGGTTAATTCGAAAGCAATTCAACGCGATCTTATAAAAAACACCAACCAACCATACGAACTACGAATTGGGACTCTGATTCCTCATAAGAGGATACGTAGGCATACGATCAAAAATCGTGGCGAGTTCCCCTATAAAAAAAATTAAACCCTTCCTCCTAATTAAAATTTAAAACCCTCTTCTACCCGAACTTAAACCTAAAACCTAATATCCTTGTGAACAAGGTAGATGAAAGGTACCTAACACCTTCCTTTCGTTTAATGAAGTCCGAAACCTAGAATCTCTGTCTGCGAATTAGAGTTTCCTATTAGATGCCCTTCCCTAGGATAAAAATAATAGTGTTAAATATTTATTTTAGCTTACACTCTTGTTTTAGAGTGTTGCGAGGTAGTTAAATATTTGCTTTAGAGAGTGTGAGTGTGTTGGGATTTTGGAGGTGTTTGAGGGTAGCCTAAGTGTTGTAACAAATTTTACATATTGATATTCTCTGGTTGTCTTTTGTCAACGGCCACGGTTTTTCTTCGATTTTGGAGTTTTCACGTTAATCTCTCTTGTGTTATTATTTTGTTCTCTTTTTTTTTTCTATGTTTTATTTTTACCTAACAGTGATATCAGAGCCGTGGTCCGGCTTGGTGGGGGAGCGAGAGATAGGATCCGGTGTTCGATCTTGTTATAGGATGTGGGGGTCTCACACTTATGGGAAAGAATGTTGAGTGCAAATGTGATTGATTTAAGTCCCACATTACTACGAATGGATGAAATGTTGAATTTCAAGAGAGATGACACATTTACCTAACACATTAAGGTTTTGGGTAGAAATGCCATATCTCCTTCTCTTATGATCCTAAAGCATTAATTTCATTAGTGCTCCCGATTCTCCTAGACTTCTCAACAAAACCATAGTCGAGATATGACTTAATCAGTGAATTCTATTTTGTTTTTTTATTAATTGATTATTTCATTTTACCTTTTTATTGTCGCATTGGTTTTTGCGAAGTTGATTAAATTCAAATAAGAATTTATGGGAATTTAGAACTTTGAAATGCAGGAGATATTAACATTCGTGTGTTTGTACCTTGTGCCGGATGAAGCTTGCACTTGTGCCACATTGGTTATATCATTGCAATTGTTTTTTTTATTTAACTATTTGATTTATCTTTTCTTACCAAATTTATGTTTTAATGGAGTTTAGTGTAAATTTGCGATTAAAGTTCTAATTGCATATTTGGATTGGCAGGAAGATTGATATGATTTTGGCAAAAGCTATAGCTTCGACAAAATTGCTGTGATTTTGCTTTTTCTGAATTCATTATCCAATCACTCAATTTATAGTCTTTGATGTGATGAGTATACGTTTATGCATCAAAAGCATCAAGTATAACTTTGGGGCATATTTTATCATGTACTCAAGTAGCAATTCTCTCATGGGTTAGTATGCATAGTGATCTATTAGTTAATATGCATACTAAGAAGAGACTGTTTTTACTCATTTTGCAACTTCCTTTAGTCTTTTATAGGTGTTTAAATAAGTTGGTTTCACGGTGTTTCCTAAGTGTTTAAATAAGTTAGTTTTATGGTATTTTTTCCCGCTTAAATCAGTTTTTTTGGGTGTAATGGTCTTTTACGAATATATGCTGTTCCATGAATAAACTGTTTCACGTTGTTACACGAATAATCTGATTCACACTGTTATGTATAAGTTGTTTCACTCAATATATTCATTTTTTACTCTTTTATGAATAAGTTGTTTTATTAATAAGTTGTTTTATTAATAAGTTGTTTTATGAATAATCTGTTATGTTTCTTTTTTGAATAAACTGTTCCACGAAAATGTTGTTTCATCTCTTTTATTAATAAGCTGTTCTGGGTGTTTTTGTGGAGTTATGATCGTCTCTATTTTTTCTCTCCATTTTTCCTTACCATTACTATAGTTTCAAAGATATTTGTAATGTATAAAAAATAAATGTATCTATCAAATATCACATTATTATATTTATATTCCTCAAACTTTGATAATGTACAAAATGGAGAAAGGAGGAAATGGAGAAGATCTTAACTTGTTTTTATGGTATCTTATGTGTTTCTGCTCTTACCTGGTATGAAGCATGTTTGAGTGTTTTGATTTAGAAAAATGACTTATTTTTTATCTGGCTTATGTAATTCCATTTTATGACTACTATTTTCTTCATATTTTTCATTAGGAATAAAAGGTCTTGATACGAAGCAGTGTTTTATGATGGAGAAAAATATAACTACAAAGTTAACTAATGAGCTGGCAATGTCACAACTTATAAGTCTTTTTACTTTTCGTAGTATCTTTAATTATTTGTGATGCTATTGTATTTTAAGTTCTGTGTCGCCTTTGTTTTGATGTTCATAATGAAATAGTTATATCTGACACGGTATCAAAAGTAGTATTGAAAACTCATGCAACACGTGAGGAAAAATTATTGAAAGAATTTAAGTTGCTAATAATTTATCATTTTTTGTTGTCTATAATTATTGAGCAGCAACAATAAAATTATCCACTGAGGTTGGTACAGATCATATGGTTTCTTTCTCAATGTATATTTTGATTCTCTTCCTGTTAATATGATGTCAAGTACAAATATATCTGGTGGTGCGTTAGTATCGTTCTTTATTTTCTGCAGATGAAATGTGCAAATTATTCACTTGCACTGATATATCATATCCGTTATAAATGTTATTTTAAGTTTAAATTTATGAAGCCTAAATGTGATTCACACTTTTCTTTGCAGAGGTTGCCCCCATTTGTCTGAATCACAATTGGTCAGATAAACGATGTATACGAAAAACCATTAGATCTTCATACGACTTCTATTATCTATCTATAAAAATCATAGTCCCGGGAAATTACCACAACACCACAGCTGAAAAAATCCATTGTTGGTCTATTGTATTGGGGTAAAATTGGAAACTCCAAAATATCTTGCACCACATTGATTTGAATCTGATGTGGCACTCCCACAATTTTTCACCACACTTTCAATTTTTTTTTTCCAAATAAATCCATGCCAAACCATTATGCCTCTCTTCCTCTTCCCCATGCCAAACCATTATGCCTCTCTTAATCAGAATTCAAATTCAAATGGAACCCCAAAAGTTTTTCACTCTTCCTTCAATCCTTCCCCAATGTGTACTTATGTATAACCTCCATTGCTTAACACCTTCCAGTCGTTTTCATTCACGCAAGCCATTGCTACAGACGTCCCTTTCGTTTTCATTCGCGCAAGGCTCTCTGCGCTGTTACGAATCGCTGCGTGGCGATGGCGCGCCCAATCGAGTATATCAGTAGCATTGACGATTCGAAGGATTTGTGGAAGGTTGCTGTTAGATGTAAGCATTTGTGGTCTGTTACCAGTTCTCAGAATAGAGAGCACTTAGAGCTTATTCTGTTTGATTCAAAGGTATAATACAATCTAAACGTTTCTGCTTTGCCATTCTGATTTTGTTGTAACAGTACTGGTATATGATACTGATTTCAAGATGTTTGTATTTTCACAGTTGGATTTAATTCAAGCCATTGTGCCATCTTATTTGGTATCAAAATTCAAAACACAGCTTGAACTTGGTTGTTCCTACATAATGCAGAATTTCAAAGTTTCCAGCAATGATTTCTCCTTCAAATCCACTGATCATAAGTTCAAATT